ACTGACCAAGGAAAGAACCAAAGTAAATCTATGATGAACTCTGAATGACCAAGAGAAGTAAAAAAATAACAGCAACAGAGACCCAATTATCTCTTAGATGACAAGAGCAGAAAGTGGTCTGAGTGAACAGGAGTTGGGAAATGCACAACAGCAGATTCTGATCATATTTTAATGGCAGACTTCGGTTAAAAGAGGAAATATGTACCCAGAAGCAATATCCATGAATAGTGCAAGTCATGCTGGAAGAAATAGTAATAATGATATAAAACAAAGATGAAATGAAGCTCACTGAAGACTTCTGACTTGGGTTGTCCATCCACTGCACATCCTCTTCCCCAATTTCCCAGATCAGAGCCTGCCAGCCTAGGTTGTATGTAAGTTTGTGAACATGATGGGAGGGAAGGATAATTGATAATAGAATTGCTTAAATTTCTGTTTCTAAATTTCTGATCTCATATCCACTGTTGTACAGGAGCAGCACAAAGTGATATTGGGTAGCATCAAATCAAATCATGGTATAAAATCAAGGCAAGAACACTCAGAAAGTAACAGTCTCCAAAATTTCTAACCTTTAGTTTCATATTCATTCTTCCAGTGAACAGTTTGCTTTTCCTTCATCAAATAATGTTTTATTCTTCTTATGGTCCAAAATATTCTCAACAGTCTTCCTCAGTACCAGAATTCACAGGTATTCATTCAACTTTTCTGATGGTCTGGCTTTCATAGTCATATTTTACAACTTAAAAAAACATGGCCTTGACAATATATACCTTTGTTGTCAGCACGATCTCTGCGCATTAGTATCAGTTTTTCTCCTGAATAGCAGGCAGCTCTCTATTTGATGGCTACATGTGAATTGTTGAGCCTAAGATGATAATTTGTTTCTACAGCTTTTCTCTTCTTTGTATTGAATTGGCCTTGCCCATTGACGCCATTTTAGTGTGTTTTTCAATATTGAGCAGTTAAAAGAAGACTAGTTATTGTACTCTCCTTTCACATTCAACAAGAAATTCCTTGCATTTCCCTTCCATCCAGCCATTTAAATGGTATCCACCAGCATAGCCACTCAGAGTTGCCTCAAACTGCAAGATGGGTGGCAAATAAAATCTAATGATAATTTTTTTAAAAATTGTGATGTTACTGATATTTTCCCCAGTGCCTTTAATTCTGATTTCTATTTCTTCTAATTGAGCAATTCCTGTGATTTATTTTGAATATAAAACAAATAAGGATACAATATACAACTGGGTGCAGTTGTTTGTGTCAGTGTATAAGAGATCATGAATTGGAATAGACATGACAATAGGTCAGCCAATGTGGACTGTTTGGTGACCCAGGTGGCTCGGAGCCTGACTTCACTGATCTGTATATATATATATATGAGTCCTTCTGTGATTATATTGATTCTATAAACTGGATTCTGAGTTCTGGTTCTGGTTTCTGCTGTATGGTATTGTATATGAAGAAGTTTCTTTTATAAATGAATCCTGCTGATTTGTTTACTTGTGTGCTGGTTGGATTGCTGCAAACTCTAATAGTTTGGTATCTTAAATATTCTTCAGCACTGCCCATTTTTGGTCCAGGAACATACAGTGATGCTGTATCACAAGGCATACAAAGAATTGCATCCTTTTCTATGATTCAAAGTTGTCCTGCTGGTATTTCATCAGCCTCTGCATCTTTGTTGTTAGCAACATTATCTAGAACCCATTTAACTTAACTTTCCAATTATATTTGCTCCATTCCCAAGCACCCCATTGGCGACCAAACATTTTTCGCCCAGACGGAGTGATTAGCTCCATTGCAAAGCGTCCCCTTTACAAGCAGACAAAGCTTTGTCTTCCCTCTGGGCGAAAAGTTCACAGCAGAGCCTGGCGGAGGCAAAGGCAATCCCAATGTGCCACCCATTCCATCCCACTGTCTCTTGGCTTGCCAGCAGCTACGCCAAGCAACCACATGCATGGGGCATCAGGATCGCCTGCCATCCCCATGCCTCTGCCTGCTGCCAGTGCTGCCACGTAAACCTCCCGTGAGCCTCCCATGAGTCAGGCAGCTGCGCAACATGTCCGGATCACCTGTCTTCTTCCCTCCACGCCTCTGCCTCCATGCTTAGATTTATCAGTATTTGTGCTGTGCCAAGAGGCTGGGAGGCTGCGGCTCCTGCTGGACACTGTCAGTCCCCGTGTGCTCGCCGCTTCTCGTGCTGGACACGCCCATCCCCTGGATTTATTTTTGGGGTAGGGCTTATATTAGGCCCACCCCAAAAAATCAGGCTAGGGCTTGTTTTTGGGGTAGGTCTTACTTTTGGGGGGGGGTATATTTTTACTTCTGCCAGCTTCTTGGTACAATTTATCTGGGCTACCTCCTCTTTATTTCATCAGATCTTTGCCTTCTTTTATTTTGCATAAAATTATACAGTATCTTGGTTTCTGTAATTTTCTTGAATGAATCTATTCTCCCATGTGATCCCCAGTTATTAATATTTTTAAATTACATTCTCAATTCCTTTGCTTTTCTTACTTAGATACAATTCCTTGCACTTTTTGCTCTTCTCTGAAACGTGATGGTTAATCATCCATAATCGTTATCTTTTTGTTTTCCTTCTTCTTTAAAGATACCACAAATTTAAGTTCAGACTTCTTAGGCACTCTATTCATCAAAGCTGAATCCAAAGAATAGATTTCTATTCTTTACCTTCACTACATAATCACCGAGTTCCTATTTTGTTGATCTGATTATTTTGTTTTCTTTAGATGTAATTTTCTGAGAAATTGTTTGATAGTCAGCACTGATTTGTTTTTGTTGCCTAAGTATAGCTTTTACATCTTTTGCTTATAGGGCAGTGTTTCTCAATCTTACAGCAAGTCTAAGTCCACATGTCTTAGTTGCCAAGGTTGAGAAACACTGTTGTAGACTATTTTGTTAGTTTGGTTGTCCATCTGAAGCTGACCATGTATAGCAGGGTTGTCAAACTTGCAGCTCATGGGCTAGATGCATCACATGCTGGCCATACCCATGCCCAGTTTAGCAAATAGGAAAAAAGTTGTGATATGTCATGTGACGACAATGCAACAACGCGAGTTTGACACCCTTGATGTATAGAGTCATCTTCTAAGCTGTTGATGGAAGGTATAAATATTGAATCTTCGCAGAACCTTATAGTCTGTTTCCTGTTTTGTTTCGTACATCAATGCCAATGTTTTTCTGTTATGGCAGATTCTATTTTACTTGCAACTTTGACCTTTCAGTCTCTTATAATTGTTCCTTTTGTTTGTTTTGCTGACAGGTTGCAGGTTTTGATAGATCTATTTACCTGCAGCTTCCTTGGCCTCTGTGGTTGGGGCAGAGATTTTGGTGACTGTGATACTGATTGGCTTTCCTTGGATTTAGATTGGTTTTTCCTTGGAGAAAGTAAAATGAGGATTATCTGCTTTCAAAGATTCTTTTCTACTTCTTAAAGTGCAAAGGCTTCCTTACAAGTGTCAGTTCTATCTTTCCATTCCATTCTGCTGTCTGGAATCCAGAGGGGAATATTGAGGCATACTCTCTTAAACGTTTGTTCAATTGTTTTTCAGTGAATTTCTTCATTAAGATAAAATCCACTTAAGAAAAAGATTCTCAACAGAATAAATTATCAACCACAATTTTAATTTCTTGATGGCACTCTTAAAAATATCTTGCCTGTGGTTTTTTTCTAATCAATGGTTAAAAACACTTTGTAAAATTATATCTTGTTTTTGTGTATTGTATCATGATGGTTGTGGCTATTTTTATACACTCTCTTGTCAATTATATTATATAATTTACTCTTGGAAAATCAGTCTAATTTACTCTCTTGGAGTTTTAGAAAATTTCTTAAAACCTAACTCTACTACTCCTAGTCTGGGGTTAATGTTTTTGTAGGGGCCCTGTCATGTTTTTATAGTTGACTGTTTTGTGTATTGGGTTTTATAAGCCACTCAGAATCTATAAATTTAATTTATACCTCAAAGTAAGTTGAGGTAGTCCTCAACTTACAACAATAATTGAGCCCAAAATTTCTGTTGCTAAGTGAGACATTTGTTAATTGAGTTTTGCCCCATTTTACAACATTTCTTTCCACAGTTGTTAAGTGAATCACTCCAGTTGTTAAGTTAGTAACACAGTTGTTAAGGGACTCTGGCTTCTCCATGGGCTTTGCTTGCCAGGTGATTACAAAAGGTGATCCCATGACCCCGGGGATCCTGCAACTGTCATAAATATGAATCAGTTGCCAAGTGTCTGAATTTTGATCATGTGACCATGGGGATGCTGCAATGATCATAAGTGTGAAAAATGGTCATCATGGTCACTTTTTTCAGTGTCGTTGTAACTTTGAATGGTCGCTAAGCGAACTGTTGTAAATTGAGGACTACCTGTACATAAATGTTGCTTTGACAATTAAAAGGACTATGTAAGGGAGACGTCAAATATCCTTTAGCTATTTTGAACCGCAGTCGATCTATACAATGAGTTGTTAAATGGAATAATGAGATTTGTAGTTTATGATACCTGAAAGGTTGCAGGCTGTCTTCTTACTCTCTATAGATTTAATGGGTAAGCAAAGACTTATCAAAATGTGAACTAGCTGTAGTTATTGTATTTGCCTGGTATCTGTGTTATCCAAGAGTTTGATGTTTACCTTGCAAACAAATAACATTTTTCACTCTTGATTAAATTCTGAAACCATGATCTGGAACACAATGCATCAAACTATGTCTGGGTCATGTTTCTGTATCTTGGCTGATGTAAAGGGAAAGAAGAAAGGGCTTAAATGGCATTGCATGGGTTATGTTCATATGATCTCATCATATGCAAAAATCAATGAAAGGTGTAAGAAGCAAAGGAACAAACGGGTAAGTGCTCTATTTCTACAGTGTACTCACATGCAGTCCTAGGAGGCTAACAGTCATGTTGGCAGGGTATGTTTTTGCCGTTTAATAATTGTAAGGAGAAAATAAAGAAGACGTTTGGGGGGAAAATAGTGAAAAACACGTTTATTGAGATTTTGAAAAATACTCCCTAGGATTCCAGCACTGCACAGTTACACCATTTCAGTCCGAAGTTCATATTTGGAAGATTAACCATTGATTAATCAACTCTTAACACGGAAGTACTGTGTTTTGATTTTTCTGTAGAAATAGAAGCTCTTCTTTGTAAGCTGAAATTTACATTCAATTGCTTCTTTTTCAACTTCATTCTCATAACAAAGTGCTTTTTCAAAAGTAATGTTCTGTCTTGATTTGTTATTCTAAGTGAGCTTGGGGTGAGATGTTGATATTTTAGCTAAAGTGCGATTCGGGCACAATAATGTTTTAACTTGCAAGGAAGGATGCCTTTATTGAGTTGGTAGAACTCCACGAGTTGAATAAGATCAGAGAATCTAGTGTGACCATCATCCAGTGTATAAAAGAGTTTGCCTTCCTCTTCTAACTGCAAAGGGGGAGAGAGAAAATACATAATCTATATCATGGACAGTCAACAGGCAATTAACCAGACTACTTTTAGGGATACATATGGCAGTAGCATCTTGGGTTTTATTGAATAAAAACATTTCTCTTTCCTGCGTGAATTTTATTTATCCATCATCTCTCAAGAAACAAGTTCTGTGACATATGAACTATATCTTATAAGATACAGAGCACACAGGAAGAAAAAGTTAGAATGATGGTCATATATAGGCTTATTGGGATATCTATCAATACTGACACCAAAGTCATGAAGAGAAGTTGATATCGCAAATAAGAAAGTAATTTTCATGGGGAACAAGATTTTTGGTTTGGAAACTTCTCTTTCACAGAAAAGTAGAAAACCATGGGATTTGGTTCTTGTAAATAGAACATCAAAACATTTTGATTCAGCACCTTCATAGCTATACTTACCGGCACAATTTGGAAGTGCTTTATTTTTAATCCATGGCTTAATGACAACACAAACGTTTTGGGGTTGCTTTGACTATCCCTTACCAAGAAAACTCTGTGGAAAAAAGGAAAATATGGGCAAGTATATTAATCTATGGTAGCAAAATATGAAATTATGTCCATAAATAGTGACATTGTGGTGCTAGCAAAGAAATTTATTTTTAGATTTTTTTAATCCAACCTTTATTATTTTTATAAATAACTCAAGGAAAGAGCCTTGGTAGTACAGTGGTTTAATGCACCCTGTTATTAACACAGCTGCCTGCAATTTCTGCAGGTTCGAATCTCGCCAGGCTCAAGGTTGACTCAGCCTTCCATCCTTTCTAAGGTAGGTTAAATGAGGACCCAGTTTGTGGGGGCAATAAGCTGACTTTGTATAAAATATACAAAAGTATGAAGGCTATTGCTTAACGCACTGTAAGCCGCCCTGAGTCTCCGGAGAAGGGCGGCATATAAATCAAATTAAAAAAAAAAAAAGGAGGTGAATATACCTTATATTCCTTCCTCTTTCTAATTTCCTCAGAAAAAAAAATGTTTCTTAGTACATTTTATTTTACCTCTTTTTAAAAAAAAAAAAAAAAAGTGAACATAATTAACTATCACAATATCCATAATAAAGTTAAGCAGCTCCAAATCAGAAAAAAGGAAATTTGCCAAGTGAGTTTAAGGTATGGAGCTTTACATTATACTATGGACAAAGAGGGAATAAAAATGTGATAAATACTGTACATCTTATATGCTATTGTACCCACATGAAGCTCAAGATAGATAACATTAAAAGTCCACAAATGAACATAATTGACATCTGTAAAAACTAGCAATATTATCAACAGCAAACAGCAAAAATCTCTCTACACATTTTCTAATAAATGACAACGCTAAGGCAAGGGTACCCATTTTCTCTTATTTTTTGTACTTGCTTTAGAAATCCTTGTAGACAAGATTCAACATACTGGAGATTAAAATTCAAGGACAGAAATAAGAACTGAAATGTTACGCCATGACAATGTAGTACTAAGCATTATGGAAACACAGAGGTTTATAAAATAGCTGATGAAAACAATCGAAGACTTTGGTGAATTCTCTGGAGACTGAGTCAATGAAAAGAAAACAAAGTAATGACAAGATATTTAATCCCAGACAAAGAAGAACTTCGTTTAAAAAAATAGTCTGGTTTTGTGATAACCAAATAAATAAATAAATTCAATGAACTTTTTAGGAGTATATTACATAAATATTTACATTTGACAGGATGCAAAGACATATTTCAGAACAATTACAATCAGTTATGGGAAAATATATATTGAAGGGTAGACAAGCCTAAAACTTTCTTGGCTAGATCTTATCTTGACAATAAAAATGAGCATACAACCCAAGATGATCTGTGTATTTTAAATGACACCAATTTCAATCTCAATCAAAATCTTGCAGGATTGGCAAAGAAGAATGAAGAGATTTATACAGAGTAGGAAAAAACAAACAAGAATAGGATTTAAAATTCTGCAAGATTCAAATAAAGATGTGGCCTTACATTTCCTAACTTTAAATTATATTACCACAGCACTTGGTAATATAATTGTATAAAGTAACAGATAAAATCCCCAAAGAATAGAAACTGACTTAGCCAATGGACTTTATAGATACTTATAGTATAAGAAAACAAAAGAAAATAATTTGAAAGGACATATAAAACCAAGTCCAATAACAATAGGGAATCTTCTAAAAACAAAAATAGGTCCGGCAATTTCATCATTAGTTTCACTGTCAAACATCTTGTGTATGTAGGTTTGTGTGGGTGGGTCCTCCAATCTCAACAATGTTAAATCACTTGTGACATTTTTTAATAAAGGCAGAATGAGGTGTCCATTTCCAGAAGTAGATGCTGGAGAAGAGGAAGGGAGCCTCTTTGAAGGAGAACACTCTGTGCATCATGACATAAAAGGATGGGAAATGTGAATTTAGCTCTCTCCTGATACAATATGGTGGACTTCTAGCAGATTAGGTAACAATTTAAAACAGATTTGAAACTCGCAGTTGAGGTCCACATTCAAACAGGGACCATCCACTGAGGGCTGCATGGTTGGAAAAGATGGTCATCCCCATTCTCTCTTTTGACCTCTTCTTGCTCTCTTCCTGCTGGTCTACTGACACGGGGCTTCCCAAAGGTGCCTTTTCAAAAGGCAACTGGACTTTCTTTGTTTTGCTTGGAGATATTTTACTCCAAGAAGCTTCTTCAGTTTTGAAGTGAAGAACTGAAGAAGCTTCTTGGACGAGAAGAGAAACGTCTTCAAGCAAAACAAAGAAAGTCCAGTTGCCTTTGGAAAAAGCACCTTTGGGACAACATGACCTGGATGACTGGGAATCTCCATAGACATATCAAGGGGAATTGAATTGAATCTATGTAGAGGGCTTCTGAAGTTAGGAAAACTTTGCTGAAAATAAGCTTGGAGGTACTTCAGATATAGGTAGGTAGTCTTACTGAACTACCATTACTTCATGCTTGTTTGATTGATTAATTGATTTTAAGGCTGCCTACTCACTGATGACTTTGGCATTTTACAGAAGCTTAAAACAACAGCAACCATTAAAAAAGTCAAGGATGTTGGGAGGAATAAATTGGCTTATATGAGATTACTGCTGGTGCTTAGTGGGAACGCACATAAAACTCAGAATCTGCTGGAAGAGTTAGGACTTAAGTTCTTGCCCAAAGACCAGCAGGTCAGGGTCATGTAGATCTTGGGGGGGGGGGGGGGGATACAATTCCATAGAGTAGGTGGGGCAGCATAAACAGTCAGTCATAAAATATAAATATCAAGGTGAAAAAACTTACCCATCCACCAGTCCTTGCCTCAGAATCAGTTGGTGTGCCTCTTCTCTAGAAATCTTATGATGAAACCACGGCTGGGAACTGTGTATAGCTAAAAACATTGATTCTAGGTAAGGTAATACACCTTTACACTCTGCTTCAAATATCTGGGGATTGTTTTCTACAAAGTGGCTCCTGCAAAGAGTGTGGTAAATTCCTAGTCCAACATGCCCAACATAGTATTGCAGTATTTCTTGGCTTTTTTTCGTGCCAGAGGTGTCCATTTTATTCCAGTAGTCTAAAAGCTTTTTGATTCAAAAGCCCTAGAACATATATTATATGAATTTTACTTGGGTCAAACCCTTCATTTGGATTAATCCGTTCAAAATTCTGAAAGGCTATCTTTTAAATTACTAACTGTATTTGTAATTGTATTCCCAATTTTATTTTGCGACTTGAGGCTGGATTTTTGAAGCGCAGTTGAAGATCTAAATCAAATCATCGCCTACTGGCCAAATTTCAAATTGATCCCTTTGTGTTTGGCTCCTTTTATACTAGACTTTTTATACTAGTAGACTCTTATCATCTTGGAATTGCCTTCTGGAAGCATGGTTCCCCTCAGATAGTTTTCTTTAGATTAGGGTGTGCTGGAAAGCCAGTGGTTCCAAGTTACTTGAATAGGTTCAATTGTTCTTTGAAGCCAGATGATAATTTATTTCATATATCAGTTCCCAATTTTTTTTTTTACAAAAAGTATTCATGTTGTCATCCTTGGTGGTTTTATTTAGGAAATAAAAGATATTCCACATGGTCTAAGTAGCTTGAGTCAACAGAATGTAACCCACTAAGCCAGGGTTCCTCAAAGTCGTCAGTATTGACCCCCACAGGTTGACGGGACTATCCACTATTATCATTGTCACTATTATTATTTCTAGTGCTATTTGTTAAAGTAGTATTTATTAAATTATTTTCATAATAGATGTTTGGGGGGGGGGGAAATCAATAATCTGAAACTTCATGAAAGGGTCAATGAGCTGAAAAGTTTGGGGCTCATGCCCTAAACATGTATTTTATAAAGATATATAACATTCTCTCATTGCCTTGCTTCTGTGGTCCTCCCAAGAATTTTTTTTGCTTGCCCAGAAACAAAAGTATCTGCAGAATCCTTTTGTCAAAATGGCAAAAGCAACACTGCTCTATAAGTTCTACATCATGACACATATACAAAAGAGACAAACTTTTCAATGTTGGGTTGACCCCTTGATAGGCCCCAAAGCAATCTCCATCATATTTTTTTAAACAATAAAGCTGAGATAAACTTGTTTTATGGTATCATTTTGTGAATATATGTATGCATGTGTATGATGAATGAATTCATGACATCACATGACATTCTACAAGATCTGTCAGTGGTGCATACCTGTAGTGGAGGGGGCACTTTGCAAAGTGCTGGGGCTGCTATGTATACCAAGACGTAAGCTCCCTTTTTTCTACATAAAAAGAAAGGAAATTTTTAAACAAGAAAATGTAACATTAAGAATGGCTTTAAATGAAATTTTCATACCCGCCATGCTAGACCTTCTTCGACTGCAACCGATAAGGCTTCTGTGGGGTTTTCAATAATTCTGGATTTATTCCCTGTGAAGTCCATAGCCACAAGAGAATTCTCTGAAACACTTCTCTACAGAATAAAAAATGTGTTAAATGCATCTACCAAAAATATTTTACAGTATACCCTTGATTATTCTCAGACAAAATCAACATGGAATCTATTGATTAGTCAGCAGAAAAGTAAAAATAAGGGACAATTTTTTTTGGAGAAGGTGGTTTATATTGCAATAGATACCCCCATTTCTTTGTAAGATTATGCCTGAAAGATAATGCCTGGCATTATCAAGATAAGCAAATGTGAGGATTTTATCTATATATGGAAATATTTTTTAGTGGTGTGGGCAGAAGAACAAAGATATTGAAAATATTATGTATGGTAGACCTGCAGGAAAGTGGGTGGAGATAGGCTAGCTTACTGATTGTTTAGTTTAGGAAAAGGGATGTTATGTTATATTAATATACGTAAAAGATTTGAATTAAGAGATATATGTATGGGGGAGGAGGAAATGGATAGATTATGAGTTGAAATTGCTAAATTAGGATTTATTATATAATTTTACAGCTGAATGTTGCTTTGAAATGTATAGTATAAGGGGGATATAATAATATTGTTAGAAAGAAAGGGTCAGCATATGGGGGGTGGAGTAAAAAGGATGGTAAAGTATTATATAATCTGTTATTAACTTGGGTTTTATTCTGGAGAAGCCACAGGGGGAGGGGAGGGGGAGGGGGGGTTAGGGAGGAGGGGGAAAAGGGGGGGGGGAATCTGTATTTGAAAAACTTTTTCAATAAAAAAAAAAGATCAGCAAATGGTATTTCATTTTTAAGAATTACAATCTGCATTCATAACAATTCTGTTAAGGTGGTTAAAAAGTAGATTAAATTACTTATTTAAGTTGAGCTGGTTTTTATTAGATTTATATTCCACCTTTTAAATATTCTATTTACAACAGAAGTAGATATCTTTCTCCCCATTGGATCAAACAGACTTTGACTTCTACAGGTCCCAGGCACAATGGTTTGGGTTGATAGGGAGCTGTAGCTCCAATTACCTTTAGAGATACTGTATTTTTCGGTGTATAAGACGCACTTCCCCCCCCCCCAAAAGTGGGTGGAAATGTCTGTGCGTCTTATACAGTGAATGTTGCCGATGCCCCGCCCACAGGGGTGAAATGCTCCCGGTTCGGACTAGATTGCCGGATCCGATAGTGATGGCAGTGGGTGGTTCAGAGAACCAGTAGCAAAAATCCCTGCCAGCCCCCCATGCCCAGCTGAGCCGCGCGATCATCAGAGGCTTTTTTTTTACTTTTAAAAGCATTTTTTCTACAACCTCTTCGGCCGAAAAAATGGTTTTAAAAGTAAAAAAAAAAAAGCCTCTGACGATCAGGCAACTCAGCTGGGATTGTCAGAAGCTTTTAAAGGCATTTTTTTTTCCTACACCTTTTCGGCCGAAGAGGTTGTAGAAAAAAATGCTTTTAAAAGCCTCTGACAATCCCAGCTGAGTTGCCTGATCGTCAGAGGCTTTTAAAAGCATTTTTTTCTGCAACCTCTTAAGGTTGTAGAAAAAATGCTTTTAAAAGTAAAAAAAAAAAAAAAGTTGGCCATGCCCACCCAGTCACATTACCCCCCCCACCAAGCCACACCCACAGAACCGGTAGTAACAAATTTTACATTTCACCACCGCCCGCCCACCCACCGGCCCCCACCTGCCAGCCTCTGCCTCCCAACAATTTGTCTCCTTGCAGCAAAAAGCAAGCAGTCTGGTCAGCTTCAGCACAGCCTGATTTAGCACGAGCAGCTGATTGGCAGTTGGATCTGCTTCCTGGAATACCACCTATCAGCTGTTCCAGGCTGCAGGGATCGCCACCGCCCGTCACCACTGTCACCGCCTATCGCCACTGCCGCCTATCGCCGCCTCTGCACGACCCATTTTTGGCCACCACACATCCCATTTCGGCCTCCACGCGCCCCGTTTTTGGCCGCCGCATGCCCCATTTTTGGCCCGTTTCAGGGGATCACTGCTGTCTCCAGGAGGCAGATCCAACCGCCAATCAGCTGCTCGGGCTAAATCAGGCTGTGCTGAAGCTGACCAGACTGTTTGCTGTTTGCTGCAAGGAGGCAAATTGCTGGGAGGCAGAGGCAGATTTTTTTTTCTTTCTATAAGAAGCTAGGTGCATCTTATAGTCTGGAGCATTTTATAGTCCAAAAAATGTGGTATAGCCTACTCTAACATAAAAACAACCCAAATACCATCAATTGAAAAGGAACATGGAGGGGAGGAAAGAAGAAACAACTGCAGAAATTATATATTGTAAAGAGTACCAAACTAGTAACTGGAGGGTAACTGGTCCAAGAAATTCCACTGAACACTGTGTCATCAAATTAATTTATAAATTCATTCATTCCTTTGTTTATTCATGCTATTTGTATATAACCAAATGAATAAAAGCATACAGACAATAAGTCACTGTGGGGAATCATCTTGTTTAGCAACCAAAACAGAAAATCCTGTAACAATAAACAAGCTAAACAATTTCCTCCTCTTCCATTATCTTCAAAATCAGTTCCCTGAGAAGGCCACATAATGCAACAATCAGGAGGTTGCATTTATATTTCAGTTTAAGTAATTGTTATTAAATATACTTACCATGGGTGTGCTAAGAAAACTGCCCCCACTTCTACCTTGATAGGGCTGTGTGTAATTCTTGTACAACTGCATTCCATACTGTAAACAGGGAATAAGAACTATTACAATTTTATGTATATAATTCAACTGTCTGAGAATATTCTACCATTAAAATAAAAACACAGACACAGCATGCATTTGCAATAGCACATAGACTTATATACTGCTGTACAGCCCTCTCTAAGCGGTTTACAGAGTCAGCCTATTTCTCCCAACAGTCTGGGTTCTCATTTGACCAACCTCGGAAGGATGGAAAGCTGAGTCAACCTTGAAGCGGTCAGGATCGAACTCCTGGCAGTGAGCAGAGTCAGTCTGCAATACTGCATTCTAACCACTGAGCCACCACAGCTCCTGCAGCCTGCTTATTTGAGGGACCACCTGATCTACCCATCGGGTCTACGGTCTACCCATCCCACTAGGCCCAAAAAGAGGGTCTGGGTCCCATCTATTACAGACTGCCATCTGGAGGAGCCCGGATACAGATCTTTTTGTGTCATGACACCCACCCTTTGGAACATCCTCCATCCCAGAGATTAGATTGGATCCAACCCTGCGGGCTTTTTGTAAGGCCTTACACAAAAGGTTGCATCATTGAGTTTGGAGACTTGGGTGTGTGGCAGAGCCTGTGCAATGGTTATATTGATTGAGTTGGTTGTTCTTTAAAAAATTTTTTATTTTTTTTGCTACTGATTATGCGTGCATTTTTAAATGTTATATATTTCATGCCGTTTTTAATTGGTATTAGTTGCCCAGGGGCAAGAATTTGAGAGGGGCTGGTATATAAATTGAGATAGACAGAGCAGATAGACACAAGTGAATTCTACCACTAGGCTGTATGATTGAAGATGAATGGTTCCAGACCAACATCTATAAAAGACCCAGAATTGGAGACCGTTGACTTAGAAAATTAATCCTATCACTTAATATGATCACAGTCACAACGATAAGCCAAATTATTATTCCATCTCTTTTAAACGTGGGCTGAGTGATGTTCTGCTACATACTAAAAACAATAGGGATGCCTGTGTTATAGATTTTTTTCAGGCGTTCTCAAAATAATAAAATAACAAGTTTCCGTGTGTTTTTTTTTTAAATAACTGAACAGATCTCTAGCTCAAAAACTATGATGAGCAGGAGGAGGAAAAGGAGAATGTCTGCCTAGATTTATTCTTATCCTTTGACAAGTAGATTATAGGGAAAGAGACAGGGCCACCTGATGACCCAGAAAACTTCAGAAAGAACATCCCTAAGGAAACCTACAGCTTGCCAATAACAATAGTAATACAAAAATCCTGTAGTACACTGGAACAGTTTTTCATTGATTCCAACACTAACAACAAAAGGACAGCAAGCGTTTGTGTTTATAAGGTAGTAGCAAAGTGGAATTAGGCTCCCTTTTTGTTTCTAGATCCCATCCAGAAAACCCTAGAAAAATCCAACTCTATTTGCAGTTTTAAACATCTCTTATATCCTGAACTGGATTTGGATAAATATTTAAGTGGTGATTAAATATCTGCATAACAAAAGCAGTTACTTAAACACTCTTTTTATGCACAATATATTTTGTGCTATTAGGTGACTGGCTTGAGAAAAATATGAACAAAAGGCATTTTTAAAACATCCAATCTTATTTTGTACAAGGAGCTCTTGGGAAGCTAGGTGAAGATGTATTTGCTAAAATCCCAGGAAATATGATCAGATCATTCTGCTCAGGACAGAATAACAATTACAGAAATCTTTATTTTGAATTAGCAAAACTTTATATTACTTGGAGGAAGATAGCCTTAGAACCACTTCTCTTTTAAAAGAAACTAAATCTTTCTTGAAGATTATTCTGTGAGGTATGTCAAATCACATCAAACTCTTTGACTGCATTAAGTTATTATATCCCAATTAAACTACTACATCCCATTTACAGTGATTTATGGCTTAGTGTGATGAGTGAACCCAAACAACTGTGATTTATTCAACAAGTTCTAGTTAAGCAAACCATGAGTTACTATAATGTATAAAAAAGTTTTTATCTAGGCCAGTACACAAGCTACAAGAATAATCAGTAAACAGATTATTCACAGAATAAACTTTTTCCTCTCTAACTTTATTTTCTGAAGTTATCTACAACTCCTGAAATGTTGTCCTAGGTCCTATTTCCATCTGAAATTTCCATCTGCTGAAATTTCTATTATTTTCTAATCTATGTTGCATATTTTAGATTTTTTTTAAAAATCCATCTAAACTGCTTGAAGCAATGTAGTCCTCTTAATTGAATAGGACCTAGGAGAATTTTCAAATTATGCATAATATGACTAGGAGTGGGTTTTGCAATCACTTATATTCTTCTTTAAATTGAGGAACAATATATGATCCAAGCCAATGGCCTAATATGATGTACAAACCTACCCTTTATGGCAATCCATTCACTATAATTTGTTCAACAAATCATTCAGCCCAACAAACTGAATCTGATTTCCCTCTTGGAATATTATTGTAACTACCGGTATATAATGGACCAAAGTATGTGTCCAGTTTTACTTTCCCTAAATGGAAAAATACTTTTTCTAAAGGAAATGTTTTCTTTACCCTAACAGAAATTGTAATAGTTTATCAATGTTCTAAAAATGAATGAATAAAGAGCAAATAGACATATATTAACAAAGAAATCCCACTAGTCTAAAGCAGAAGTATGTAGACTGGGTTAACATATTGCCTTAAACCATGGCTTATTCAAATTAAGTGATTAGGCCATAACTGATTGTCTTCAGACAATATGTCAAGTACCAAAAAAACCACAATATGGTTTAGTGTATTGTGTGAATCAACATTGGTATAATAACTACCAAATGAATGATGGTTTTGTGGTAATATTTTTGAGTTAGTTCACTTGTAAGCAATGAACCTTACCTCATTCCAGTGAAAATATATGTTTTATAGACTATTTAACTTCACTGGCATCTGCTGAAATTTCTATTATTTTCTAATCTATACTGCATACTTTAGATTTTTTTAAAAAAATCCATCTAAACTGCTTGAAGCAATGTAGTCCTCTTAATTGAATTTTAACGTTCACTTTTATTAGAGTGGAATGGTCCCAGATGGAAAGTTTCCTATCACTACCAGTTAAAAGGTGTAATGCAGCTCTGCTGCCTTCCGATCCCTAGAACACCAACTGTGACAGAACAAAGCAAAAGGAATGGAAAAAATGTTGATAAAGTACGGGATTGCTATAAATGGAGCATCATCCTTAAGGAAGAAATACTCTTGAACTAGTTCTTTGGAATAACAGTAACAAGCACTTCTCTGATCATCCGAAATTGGTGACAGTGCTTTTGCGCATAAATCACTTCCGCATCCTTTGATGGCTTTTTCATTTACAGCCTATTATTTGACCATGGCAAGGCATGTTTTAAGTGACTCACCTCTCCCGTAGCTTCCTTCTTCAAAAGGAATATCTCTTCCAATATCTGGTCATTGATTGAGTTGGTTGCGCTATATGCAGTGCTTTTTCAGTTGTGGTTCTCCCTCACAGGATGCCCTCCCCGGGAAGCACACCTGGCACCCATTTTAGTGACTACTCTAAGCTAAGAGCTTCCTCTTTTTCTCATCACTTTTAGTGAGTTTTGACTTCATATTTCTATAAGGGGTTTGTATATATTTTTGTCTTACATCCTTGTGATGTTACGTTCTAATTCTAACTAGGTTTTATGTTTTAAGCAAACATTATTTACTGAAATAATTGTGCAGATGAGAAATATACATATGCAACACTGAGCTTCCAAAGGCTAAAAATACCACTTTTACTCAGAGGCTAAAGAGAAGAGTGAAATGTATTGTGTACGGTAACTATAGAAACAATTGGTGAAGACAATGCACAGAAGAAGAGAAGACATTTACCTTCAGCAACCGAATTGCTGTCATCCAACAGGTCCTACTTTGCTCACTGTCTGCATAAAGGCATTTCAGGTCTCTGGTTCCTCCTGCTTTATAAGGCTAGAAGGCCACAGCATATTGTTTAGCATTAATGCATATCTTGAAGACTATACCTGTTGAAATAAAAGCCACTAATTCTCCTATTTCACAAACAAAATCTCTTCTTTTCTTAGTTTTTTTTCCCCTTGCATCAAAAAAAGTGGCTTAGCATGTGGGGGGAAAACCCCCCCACTAATTTGCTGAAAGATGTTTAGCTCTTATTAAAATACTAAATTCTTACCTTGAAGCAGAACCCAAAACTGACTGGCACTCCAGATATCTTTTTGCCTCTCAGAGACATATATATGTCGCTACTGCTGAATTCACTGAAAAGCTGGAGGTGTCGTGGTTCCTAAAATGAAAAACGTAAAAAATATTACATCCACTTTTGAATTATTGCTCTGAGGTGTGGGTGTGTGGTTGAGAGAGGGAGAGAAAAAGCCTACAGTGGAACACAATGAATTTTCAAAGAATTATGGAAAGTTTTTCCAAGTTGCGTACAGCATCTTATGACCGCTCAAGATCTTTTAGATTAGGGAAACCTTCATCAACACTACTAGAATAGCCTTCTATCCTGAAGAGGAAGAGTAAACATTTTTAAAGGAAAAGAATTGTAAGTACTGAACACAATAGAATAGAATAGAATTCTTTATTGGCCAAGTGTGATTGGACACACAAGGCATTTGTCTTAGTGCATACACTCTTGATGTACATAAAAGAAAAGATGCATTCGTCAAGAATCATAAGGTACAACACTTCAAACATTTAATGTTAGTCATAGGGAACAAATAAGCAATCAAATCACATTAGGAAACAGTCAATATAAATCTTAAGGATACCAGCAACAAGGTTACAGTCATATAGTCATAAATGGGAGGAGAGTAAACAGTATATATAAAAGTTTTATAGCTGTGTTTAGAGTAGGGGGTGTCAAACTGGATTTCTTTGAGGGCCGGATCAACATTGTAGTTCTCCTCCTCTGGCTGGCCAGGGGTGGGTGTGTGGAGAGACGGGACGGATGCTTCCTGAAGCATTCTGCTGGCCAAAACGGAGTGCAGTCTGCCTCATTTTTGCCCTCCATGGCCTCCTGCAGCACTCTGCTGGCCAAAAACGGGCTGCAAAGGGGCCACACGCGGCCTGTTTTGGCCGGCAGAAGCAATGCAAGCCGGTACTTTGATATTCCAGGTCTGCCCCATGGGCCGGATTTAAGCACCCCGCGGGCTGAAACTGGCCCATCGGCCTTGAGTTTGACACCCCTGGTTTAAAGACTCTTCTAAAACCAGAATGTGGCTTATTTGGTTTTGCTGGTTTTTATTTGTTGCACAGGATGAAGTATAAACCCGGCCACTGTAGTTTATTCAACAGATTACTCCAAAAGCAAACTATGTTCCAATATGAAGTGTGACGCTCCTGTGATTTTTCCACTATTAGTTTCACCCAAAAACAATGGTGGATCTCAAATTCGAGAACGAATCAAAATGTAGATTGGACAAAACTGTTGAAAGCAACCAACAAAACCATGATTGCCAGAAATGGCAGGGAGAACTAGATGCCATTGTTTATTGTAATGCATGGACACAGCAAGTTTTTACCAAAGGCAAGGCCTTGACAAATATGCACCAACTGCAGAGACATCTAGTCCTCCGGGAGGGTCAAAAAACCCAGATGACAGATCAGTCCAAGTAACAGAAGCCAGGTCTCTTTGTACATGCAGCAATGTTGTTTTCTGTACAAAGGGGTGGGGTTTTGTTCAGACAGTCATGCCTGCCATTGTAACTTTTAGGCCCAGACCCTGAGGATAGCTCTGTGGATATTTTTTCCCAGGTCATGATATCTTCCCTTGGCTTCAGTCCCAAGAGAAGGAAAACTAACTGCTACATAGCTCCTGAACCAAATAATTCCCAACCATCTGCAAGACAATTAAGGGAAGAAGAACCCTCAATCCTCTTCCAGAGTGTGGCTGGAAGAACTAAAGGGACAATATTTTAGTCCTCCAGTAAAAAGGTTTCTGAGAACAGACCAATTTCACCAATTTGCTGTTGTGGGGAAAAGAGGAGGAGAAAAGAGTATTAGGTATGTTCGTTGCTTTGAGTTATTCAGAAAAATAATAAAGGTGGGATGAAAATAAATAAATACATTAAAAATGTACAGGACATCATCGCTTCTTCCAGAGGCAGAGACCATCAGCATAATATTGTAGCTCTTGTGATAAGCTACAATAGAGACCACAGAATTGTAAACTTAATCATAACGCAACTTTTTTTAAAAAAAGAATTTTATGTTTTAAGAGCAACATCATTAATCCTTTAAAGTGGAAAGTTAACTATACATTTTTTCAAATCATAATTCTTTACAAGTCTACATCATAAGGACTGGATTATCCACTTTTTTACCTCTCTTTCTCCACAACAGAGATTCCCAACCTGGGGTGCCCACTCTCTCCCCTGTCCCCCACGGGATACGAGATGAAATTTCAGAGGGTGCCGCAAAGAGTGGCTTGTGTCACTTAGGCATGAGTCACAAGTCACAATTATTTTTATAGAGAGTGTGAATATTAATCAAACGTTTCCTAGGGGTGTGATGCATAGAAAATGTTGGGAACCACTGTGTCAACTCTGAAGCGAACCTGGCTGAAGCCATCTTGTGCTGCCTCATAGTTGCCACGAAGCCTGAGAGGGGGAAGAGAGCAGGGAAAGTAGATAGTCCGGCTTCAGTCAAAACAAAAAGTTTTCCTGTGGGAACCAAGGTCATTGAAACAGGTGCCTATTGAAGAAGAGGAGCCTGCCATCCATCTTTACTGGATAATGTAACCTGTGACACCTGGGAGGGGGGATGTTTAACTCTTTTAATTAGGCGAAAACTGCGGGAACTGTGGTTTTCACCGGCTGTGCCGATATGATGTATCCAATAAACATGTCCTTTGAGGAATTTACCTGCCTTGGAGTTCTGCTTTCAGTGGGTGCGTTACTCGGAACGCTGACACTGCTCAACAGGAAAAAAACTGAGAGGAAATTTTTCTAAATCTCTACAGACTTAAAATGACAAAAAAAAAAACATCTATTGCATAAAAATAAAATGTATACCAATTTCTAACACTTCTTCCTTTCCATTTGCCAAACATACCTTTGATGTTCCCTTAGTGGAAAAATACAGACCAGATCTTCGCAACAAAAAATACATTTTTTTCCAGGTTTTCTTCCCTTGCTCTTTAAAATGCAAATAACCATGAATTTCAGGATATGCAGTGGAACTTAAAAACATCTGAAAAAAAAGAGAGAGAAAGAGAGGGAATAGCAAGAGAAAGCGAGAAACCCCTCTCTTTAAATTCCATCAGAATGTTCTCTTATCTTTCAGTTCTTTGTAGACAATGAAGAATTCTAGCATTGCTTTGGCATTTGCTCAGGACATTGTACAATGAGCTTCTGCATATTATATATATTGTTGAAAGATCTACAACTTTCTTAAAATGCTAAGTGCTGTAAATGCTAAGTGTGTTCAAGATAACTCCATAGTAAATTCACCTTATTCTATAACCATTGCTGCTCTGGGTTGCTCTTTGCATTTTTCAGAAGAGTGATTAGTAAGGTCCAGATCTGCCAACTTTTCCTGTTGCAGGACAAAGTCCCCCTATCTTCATGAAAGTGCTTATAATTAGCGTAAGATTTTTCACAGCTGGGACTGGAATTCTGCTCAGTTGTCTCATCCAATATTGTTCACAATTCAACCAACCAGCTATAATTCCTTCAATACCTTTTTGCAGATGGCAGGCTATTATTACATATAACATTATCTGATAGCACAGTTAGGTGAGAAGGCCATTCTTTTTCTCCAGGCGCACTTTTTCTTTGCTACACAAATGTATGGATACACATGCACACCCGCGCGCACACACACACACAATACACACAGTGACTTCATTAAAAGGAAGAGATGCTTATAAACCTAACAGACACCTTAAGAATAAATAAATCTTAAACCAGATGGTATCCACCTGAGGGATTCCAAGAACTACATAAAATTGCTGACCTGCGGATAAAAATACACAATCTGTATAAGATCGCCATCTATTCCCAAGGACTGGAAAATTATCAGTTAGATTCCAATTTCTAACAGAAGAACTGAGAGGAGATACTGGCAATTATAGGACAATTAACTGACAATTAATTTGTCTCAGATCGATAATAATCAAACACAGAAAAACAAGAACCAACATGGCTTCATCATGGATAGATCTAAGTTAAATCTCTAAACTGTCTTATGGTATCAAAAAGGATGTAGGCAGAGATGACTGAACAAGTCCTGAAGATCTGGAATACTCAATTAATTTTTGCCAAAGGCTCCTGAGCAGTTTCAGCAGCAGAGGGAAGAGTGGTGGTGATGTTAAGGAGAAGCAATTGGTTAGAGAACAGAAATGTACAAATCACTTTTGGACTCGAGTGATATTCAATATTCAGTTCAATATTCAGAACTAAATCATCAGGAAGTGCTGGTAGAATCTGTATTTTTAGTCTGTTTAAAAATCAACCAGAATGAAGGGGATCAACAAAGTGGCCGATGATGATTTCCCACCCACCATCCACTGTTTTAATGAGAAATGTGGATTAGAGCACCATAAGTCAGCCACAAGGGATGCAATCTCAACTAAGGATGCTTCAGAGGGAAATATTAAATCGGATCCCCAATTCTTACTACTTTACACAGAAGTAAGAATATGCTTAACAGTGCTTAATGGCATTTGTGGTTTGATCCATGGGTAAATTCAGTAATATCTTACCTGCAGTATCTGTGCGTGATTCATTGTGCCATTGCTCTCATTTGAGAGGGATACCAGATGATCTGGGAAAAAAATCTGCAAAATAAAAAGTTAACAGAAGGCAGTAAATGTTTCACAAGCTTGAGCTGGACGCGGGCTATATTGTAGACTTCATCATGACTATCATAATCTAGACTGCAAAAATCCAGGCAACCACTAGATGGCAAGAAAGCCATACAGAAAACCAGGAAGTCCAGCTGCCTCCTGAAAAAGCACCTTTGAGACAACCATGACCTGGATGACTAGAGAATCTCCGTAGACATACAGAAAACTCTTTTCTATTTTCTATTCACTGACTATTCTGGTGATCAATTGGAATTTAGCAACTTTTGCATCAGAATTATTTATTTGTGAATGTGAATTGAAAGAATACCTGACTCCCAGTAAATCAGGATATCTGATATTATAATAAGCCAGGATAATAAAATCAAACAATGAGAACTAGTTTTGTGGGAAGGAGGTAACTTTCCTCACAAGAAATACTTCAGCAGCCATTGTGTCTGAAATCAATGTTCAGCAGAAGAGCACTTCCTTGGTAAGCAGAAGGTCCATGCTGATGTTACTTACTAAAAGAAATAACATGGGAGTAGGTAGGACATTTCTGCTGCCTTCAGAATTCCATGGCTAAGGAAATTTTCTATGGACTTAAGTACAGGTAGTCCTAGTGTTAACAACCACTATTGAAACCAGCAATCTGTCTCCTAAAAAATGTGGTCTTTAAGCAAGCCATGTGACTACAACGGGATTTCTCTGTAGTTGTTAAGTGAATCATTCACGGTCATTAAATGAGACATCATGCAATCGCAACATGCAATTTTACAGTTGACTTCTCCACTGGCTCTGCTTGTCGGAAGTCAGCCATGAAGTGCGCAAATGGCAATTGAATGACTACATGACACTGTGACAATCATTAATGCAAGGACTTAAATCGCAAAGTTACTTTTACAAGGCTGTCGTAACTTCAAGTGGTTACTAAACAGGGCGGTTATTAAGTGAGGACTACTTGTAGCACTTCCGAGTCTTCTCCAGATGTGTTCCAGCACAATTGGAAAGTACCATGTTGTGGAAGACTCTTATAATGTACACAGCTCACAGCTTGTAATAATTGAAAGGAGCCCAGAAAGAAAACCATTTGTCACTTTTGTCTGTGTATAAAACAATGTGCAGTCAATTGCCTCTCAGCAGGAGATTTTTGACTGCCACCATAACCTTCAAGCTCTATTCATACATAGGAAGTAGCTGAGGAATTTGGAGCAAGCAAGGTTTTGCAAGCCTATTTGCAAAGCTGTTTTTTTTTTTTTTTTCAGAAGATGGGGACAAGAACAAAGAAAATGATCTCCTCCTACAATGTCAGTCCTTCCACTGGGTGGGGGCATGAGGAACCCATGTCACTTTAGGTTAGGGTTTGGGAACGATGGCCCTTTTATGGCTTGTGGACTTCAACTCCCAGAATTCCTGACCCAGCCAGGAATTCCGGGAGTTGAAGTCCACAAGTCATAAAGAGGTCGTCGTTCCCTGCCTCTGCTTTAGGTGGTCTGGCTAGCGGTGAATGATTCCTCAGTCAGCTCTACAACTTTATCTTACTGGACTCTAGTTAAAAAAATAAACAAAAAATGGGGCTGAACTGTTAGTCCTTTGAATCAAAGGGATAATGGTATATCCTCCAAAGATTTTTTGTCACTAGACTTCGCATAGCAGATGAGTTCCTGAAGAATTACGCTGAATATTAAATCTGAGGTATTTGCCCATGTTATAAACATATTATGCAATAAGAACTTACCTCAGGGGTTTTAAAGAACTCGTATTTGGCGTAATTTTTCCGAAAATAAAATTTATTGCCTTCTTCAATTCCCCACTTTGAATGGACTTCAACAATCATTTCATGGTCTTCGACTATTCTTTCTGTGAAGCAAAAGAGAAATGCAAATCCTAGTTCTTTCTCCAAAGGGGCTGGGAGGAAGTGGCTTACCTGAACCCTTTCCGGTGGGGTTCAAGCCCAGTTATGCTACTGAGACAGCATTGATTGCACCTGTGAATGCCTTCAGGATGTGTCCATTTTTGCCCTCCTTGATCTCTTGGCAGCTTTTGATACTAATGACTATGATATCCTTCTGGACTGATTTAGCGGGTTGGGAGCACTGTTTTCCAGTGACCCTCCTCTTTTGATTGTAGGCCAATTCCAGTCAGTACTGGGGGAAGGGGGAGAAATCAATCTTTAAGCCTCTCCCACATGTGGTACTCAAACCTCAGGTGTCTCATTTGTCCTGTTTAACATCTACTTGAAGCTCCTGGGTGATACTTGTAGATCTCTATCCCAGGCCAGACAGATTAAGCCATTCAGAATTGGAGGCTGCAAGATCTATGGGGAGGAATTGACCAGCCCTAGTAAGAGAGAGTGGTTCTGAATCTCTAATTCCTCTGTCTCGGGAGAGTTCCCCATCCATCCTCCTAGACTGAAAATTAAGGCTTGCTCCAGGTCCCCACCCTTCAATGCAGTTATCTGGTGGAATTCTTAGAAAATGACACCTTTCTAAGCTGCACCTATCTTTTTTTTTTTTTTTAATTTGATTTATATGCCGCCCTTCTCCGGAGACTCAGGGCGGCTTACAGTGCGTTAAGCAATAGCCTTCATACTTTTGTATATTTATACAAAGTCAGCTTATTGCCCCCACAAACTGGGTCCTCATTTAACCTACCTTAGAAAGGATGGAAGGCTGAGTCAACCTTGAGCCTTGGAGAGATTCGAACAGCCTCCCCACTGATGAACAAAAGACTCCGTACTCGTTTCCCAGAACCCCATTACAATCTGGCTTTTCCCAATGGTGGTGGATCAGGACAGAAGGGGAACCCAACATTTGTAGGTTTCTGATGAGATAGTTAGGGTGCTTGGTGGCAAGCGAAAGTTTTTAATTTTTGTTATTGTTATTGCCTTACCTATTGTTAGCTGGCCAGCATTACTTTATAAAATATGAGCAGTATTTTAAATACATATATTTCCATTTCTGTAATTGAGAAAAACTGTCAGAAGTCTGAACAATTGAGGCAATTTACAAACACTGTAAATAACTAGCTGCAATTTGCCGCAGCCCCTCAAAATAATGCTACTATTGTAAACATTTTAAGAACTGAAGACCATTAAACTGGTCTGCTGAGGAGAAGGAAGAATTTTGAAAGCCGCATAGCTTAAGGGAAGACACACAAATTACCATCATCTGTAGTTTAGGATGTGTAACCATATTGGAGATCGGCCATTCTGAGTCTAGCCAAAACTGACTTGAAGAAAAACTCCCTTGGAAGCCCTTGAATTCCATGGAAGAAAAGGAATTTTCATAAATGAACTTAGTCAACACTGTCACACCCTGTTATAAGAGATTCCTTCCTGGCCTGTAATAATCAGAAGTATATGGAGCTTGGCAGTGGTGAAATCCAATTTTTTTTACTACCAGTTCTGTGGGCATGGCTTGGTGGGAGTGATGTGGCTTGGTGGGCGTGGCAGGGGAAGGATACTACAAAATCTCCATTCTCATCCCACTCTGGGGCCAGCCAGAGGTGGTATTTGCTGGTTCTCCAAACTGCTCAAAATTTCCATTACCGGTTCTCCAGAACCTGTCAGAACCTGCTGGATTTCACCCTGGAGCTTGGCCTTCATACGAAGTGGTTTCTGGTAGCTGTTGGACAAAACATAGATGCTCATATGGGGAGAACATTTAAATACTATAAATTATGCCGAAAGCATGTGCTCCATTCTATTTCTTCACCAAGTAATCAGTGCTACTACTAAGAAATTAAACACTGGCTTTGTATTGCTTTGACATAATGCATAGATGAGGGTCTACGGCTAGTTGTAGTTTACCAGTAACTGGGAGGGATCCCTAAGGATCTGAGATAGGCAGATTTGGATGTCTCATGATGTAACAGAGGTATTTGTTGCAGGATGTAAACTGTTCCCAGCCAAGCTGCCTTTTACAATTGCCTGATGGTGAATTTATCAATGCTAATGGTGTTCAAGAGATGCTCCAGTTGCTTTAGGATTGCACCCAAGGCGCCAGTTACTGTTGGTACTATCTTTGCTTTCTTTTGTCACAGTCATTCCTTTTCTATTTGCAGGTATTTGTATTTGTTGTCTTTGCCTGCTCTTTCTGTTTTATTCTGGTATCTCCAGATACCGCCAGGTCCACTATCCAGACTTGTTCAACTTTCTTGTCAATAATTATTGAAATCTGGGGTGGTGTGTAGCAGGTGCTTGTCAGTTTGAATTATAAAGTCCCAGAGAATATTAGTTTCTTTATTTTCTATTACTTTCTCTATTTTATGGTCCCACCGGTTCTTGCTTGCAGGCGAATGTTATTTCTTGCAGATCTTCCAATGCACCATTGTTGCTACTTTGTTATGCCATTGTTTGTAGTCAGTCTGTGTGATCCTGCAGCAGCTAACCAAGTGATCCACTGTTTCTTCAGCTTCTTTGCAGAGGTGGTGCTTGCTGACTGTTGTTGTCTTCTGAATTCTGACTTTGTATGCATTTTTTTCTTAAAGCTTGATCGTCTGCCAGAATTAGACCCTTGGTCTCTTTCTTCAACTTTCCTGCTCTTAGCCATTGCCAGGTCTTGTTATTATCTGCTTTGCCTGCTTTTTTTTTTTTTTTAATTTACTGGCCGTGTAATACTTTGTCTTCCCATGTCTTTTTTCTGTTTTTCATTTGGTCTTTTGAGTAGACCAGTTTGGTCTACCAGCATTCAGTAAGCCTTCTTGGTATACTGGCTTCAGTGCATCTTCTTCACTATCCTTCAGATATTCTTTCAATGCCCTTTTTTCTTCTTCAACTGTCTGATCTATTACTACTATTTTTAATGGTTGACATTCTTTTAGAGGGAATTAATATTAATAGCAACAGTATTTTAGAGAAAAATAATGTATCCTTACTTTCCCATGCCTATCAGTTGGAAGATCATTCTGCGGATGTTTAGTTACATATCCTGCAACTAAGAGAGGGTCATGATCATTGCAAACTCCAGAGCTTCAATAAAAGATGCTGGCTGAGGACAGTGGACTATCCAATCACCTCCTATGGGTGTATCAGCTGAGCCAAAAATTGTTTCTAGCCCACTCAAAGTTCTCAATTGCTTTGTGGATTTATTTATTTATTTATTAAAATTATTAATTTGCTGACCCCTTCTCAATGATTCTGATCGAGTCATAATAAAAAAAAATCATCATAAATAAATATAAAACACGCCTATTAAAAATCACAAATAAAACACAACACATGGCCCCAAAACTAGAAATGGTTTCATCCCTGGGGCTGGCTACTAGCCTGACTAGGTGGCTCAAGTGGCTAAGACACTGAGCTTGTCGATCAGAAAGGTCGGCAGTTTGGCGGTTCAAACCCCTAGTACAGGTCTCCTGCGTGAGCAGGGTGTTGGATTAGATGACCTCTAAGGTCCCTTCCAACTCTGTTACTGTTAGCCTGTTTAAGTTGCATTCTCCAGCTCAAAAGACGGTTGAAAAGGGGTATGGTCTTCTTTACTTCCCAAATAGACAAGAAGGAAAAGCCCATCCTCATTTGGTGAGTCAAGCTGTTCTACAACAAAAGGGGCTTTCGCCAAGAAGATCATTTTCCAGACTCCCCCCGGCCCCCGAGAAAAAAATCCTCAGCCAGCCCTCTGTAATAATATTCAGCTACCGCTATACTCTTTCCGCAGGTCAATGAAGCCAACCTCCCTTAAGTTCTAAAAATAACATATTCCAGATCTTGGAATAAGACAAGTGTTCAGGAAATATAATATACATATGGCTTGTCCTTCAAACTAACTAAATTCATAAAGTCTGACCTGGACAAAAGATGGCAACTTTTCTTCAAAAGTTTCTTTTCATTTCCATGCCAGCAGAGGAACTGAAAAACTGAGCTGTCTCAAAATGTGCTTCCTTTGCTAACTGTGAAGGAAGCTTTCAAAACTAGTCTGACATTTAACTGTAGTTACACAGATGTCACTGTGGCATTTATGAAAATGCCACCTTGTATAGGAGGGGAAAGGTTTTTTTTAAAAAAATTGTAACCATCTCCAATAGAATATATTAACACATTTATCAATTGCACCACTGATTATTACTTAGATAAATAACCATCATTTTCCCAAATGTTTAGACACCTTTATCTTCTAATACACTTAGAAGTTTTCAGACATTTATGCAATCCAGTTTTTCTCTACTCTGTTTCTTTCTTTTTCCACCCAACTGATGTTTCTAAAATTCTTCTGGAGTGCAGAATTTAAATGGACAGGATTTGTATTTAAATACTCACTTTACTGTTTGTAAATTAACACACTGCTGGATTCCCAGAATGTTCCTTAAGTGCACATAAACTATTATCTTGCTAGCTAACCAATTGTGTTATTAGATGAAGAAGGAACATTGTACTTTTGTCTTGGGCAATCACAGACCCACCCACCCACCCACCCCAATAATATGTGAATTTTGACTAGCCAACTTCACCAGGTAACATAGCTACTTCTGGAATTTTAGGAGTTGAAGTCCACCCAAACATAGGTGCACCAAAGTTTGGAAAGCTGGAATATCTCTACTTTGCAACAAGAGTTCATCTACTTAGGGTTCCAGTCAGCCACATCAGGACTGACAACTCTGAAGTGAACCTGGCTGAAGCCATCTTTTGCTGCCTCATAGTTGCCACGAACTCTGAAAGGGGGGAGGGAGGGGGAAGTAGATAGACTGGCTAACAGTCAAAACAAAAAGTTTTCTTGTGGGAACCAAGGCCATCCCAACAGGTGGTAGTTGTAGGAAGAGAGGAGTGACCAAGCAGCCTGCCAGTCGCTTTCATTGGACAATGTGACCAGTGACATCTGGAGAGGGAAACATTTGCTTTTTTAATTAGGCTAAAACCACGGAAA